GGCGGTGAATGAAGATGTCGCGACATCGGGAGGGCATGAATCAAGCAGTGGCGAAGAATCGACGGTCGATTATCGATTGTGGTATGCCCTGATACCCGATCCTCTTCGATAATTTCGCGTTGGTTTAAATGAACCATCGGTCGGTTTATCGCGAAGCGCGGTGCACAGTACGCAGGGTTGCCACAGAATTTGGAAAATGAAATTCCCTGACATTTCCCTGACACATTTTGGTGAAATTCCCTGACAGTTGAAGATGTACCAATTGGCTAAGAAGACATAATTGAAAATAGTTTTAAGGCAAAATTTGTAGTTCGAAACCTGAAACTCATTCACGTCTTAAAATCGAACTTAAGTGTCCATATTCTCCTCGCAAAGATTCTTAAGGTGATTATGTGGACGCCATATTTGTGTCGAAAGGACATTTCAGCTACTCGTCATTTTCCTTGAATTTTGAGATCGCTTTTTGAGAAGACTAAAGCATTCACTTACCCATTTTGACAATCAAATTCACCGTAATATAGGCGTGGTTTTTTTAGAGAGAAAATATCGCATTCGAGTGAAGTTTCGATATCAGTTTTAAATGCGATATTTTTCCTCTAAAAAACCATGCCTTAATTAAGTAAAAAAAAATTTGTCAAAATTGGTAAGTGAATTCTTCAGTCTCCTGACAACAAAATTGCGATTTCAAACTTCGAGAAAAATGACGAGTAGCTGTAAAAATGGAACCGATCGATGCGATATACACATTGCATGTCGCTCTGATACAAAATATAGTGTCCATCGAATTACCGTAAGGTAAAAGTTGCTTCCAAGGGATCAAAATAATCCAAGGAGCAACAATCGTCCCTTTTGCTTAATGGTGACTAATGAACGTCTTTGGGGGGATGAGCGGGGGGGATGAGTGGGGGGACGAGTGGGAGGGACGAGTGGGGGGAATGATGGATTCTCTCATTGAGAAAGGAATTTTCACGATCGGATTTAATTCACTTTGAGAATCGGTGACAGCTGAATGATGCGCTATTATGCTGAAGTTGCAAACGATAAAACCGGGGAAAGGGATTTTTCCACCAAGTCCTAAATGAGAGAAAAGCGGATAATTTAATTTGCTAAGAGAGAGCAAAAAAGGGGAGAAAAACAAGACGTCAATCTCAAACGGAGTGGAGATATTCTGAACAGTTGATACTGCAGCACGATTTGACTCTCGGCGATTCCTGACAAAAAAAGTTCTGAACTTCATCGAGTATCGATTGGACGGACAGAGAGGAAGTAATAAAATGGCAACGCTGGCTTGGATTACTTAAGATTTTCTTCATCTTGCAGACACAACTTAAAACTGTAATCAGCTTGCATCCTTATGCACGACAAACAAGGTGAGGAAATTTTTTGCTCAATGCAGCTCCTTCCCTCAATCATAAGAACACCGGATTTTACACCAAATTTGATGGATGGCTAACGAATCATCCCTGACCAACAAAAGGCTGATGAAACGAAAGGACACTTCAATACCGCTCGTTCACTCTTGAAAAATGCAGTCCAAAAGACCTCTGCAGCCTGATTGTTGAAATTTTGTGTTAGTCGGGTGGACATGGATGACATAGGTTAAATGGCGAAGCGTGATTGGTCGGCTATGTCTTGTCGCTGCTTTGTCGATTGGAATGGACGACAAACTAAAGGCACCTCTTGAGTTTCCGACAGTATGTCGTCCATTCTAAACGACAAATCAGCGATAAGACATATCCGACCAATCACACCTCGCCATTTAGACTATTCCATCCATGTCCACCCGACAAACACAAAATTTCAACAATCAGGCTGCCGGACCAGTTAAGAATTAATATGAAAATTGTCTTTATCTCTTTCTTATCTAGGTATAAAGGGCTCTGATCGACTTTATACACTGTTCGTCGCCTCAATAATGAACGAAATTCTTTGAGAAATCAGAAGAGAGATATTCACAAATTTTCCTAAAAATCCGTGATTAGTCGGAGGAAATTGTGCAACGCCTGATGGCACTTACGGTGTTCTTCCTTAGGACGGCAGTAACTGGGACTGGCTCCACCTCCACTCGGGCTCCGTCAAGGGTAACGATACCCGCGTTAAACGACAGACGTCATTAGGACGGGGCGAGGGGCCAAACGGGAATTTAACGCTGCGTTAGGAGAATGGCGTCGGGATGCGATGTGGGGTCGGTAAATAGGGGAGGGGGAGGGCGCTAGCGACGGGGTCTTACTGACGCGGGGGTATTTTAACTAATTGCAGCTACGTCTTGCTCTTCCCGAGGTTGTCGGATTCAACCGATATCAACCTGATGGACCACTAGACGATGTACGAGAGGAGAATTTGCATTCAATTTTTTTATTGCTTCGTCTGAAAGTGCTTAAAGAGCTGATTTTACGGTATTTTTTTATAATTTTTTCTAATATGGAAAATAGTATAAAAATAGATTTAAAAGTGAGAAAATACACCGCCTACGACGTCATCCGGCGGCATTTCCCATTTTAACACACGTATTTCAGCAGATTAGATCATTTTGTCATTTATTCTCCAATGATTGTTTGATTCATGAACCAAGGGTATCCTCGTGATCAGTTTACTCAGAAGTTTCCACTTATACACGAAATTCATCAAATTTCAGACACCTGCGAATTGTATATTTAAGCATTCTAATACATTTTTCTTACTTACAATTTCATGGAGAACACGATTTTTGCATTAAAAATTACTGAAATCAACTCCTAACTAAGATATTAACGTTTTCATTTTACATTGGTTGCGGGAATTTTGAATTGCCCAGTCAAAAGAAACGCAATCCTCTAAGTGAGTCGAACCGCGCCCAACAACAATGTTGGCAGGCTTCTCAATCGAGCATTGTTCCTCTTCTGCCCTTAATCGTTCGAAGTGTAAACAATTTGCTATAGCTGAGCCAAAGCTTCAAGATTGAGGTGACCAGATTTTCAAATCGCAGAGACTGTCGCGGTAAAGTGTAGAGTGCGATTTGACTCAAGTAGACTATTGTGTTTTCATGAGCGAGAGGTTTGAATTGACGCGTCAAGAAACATTAAATATCTTACTTAGGAGTTAATTTCAGTAATTTTCGTTGCGCAAATCGTGTTCTGCGTAAAATTTTGGTTTTAGAAATATGTATGAAAATGCTTAACTTCGTACCTTGCCTAGTGGTCCATTACATCAGACGTTGACTACTTTTACCTCGCGTTCTATTTTTCTAAAATGGAAAACCAAAATACAGTGGCACTTGAAGTTTTGTGAGCATTATTGAAATACAGCATGTATTGGAAGGACAATGAGTTTATTTTTACGATGTGCCTAATAATCGGACGTCGTACACTGGAAAAACAAACACATTGGATCTAGAGTCCAGACTCTTGAAAACATTGACGAGAAAAAATACTCTTGATTCAATCAGATTTTTGCTTAAATCAAAAGGAAATCCGCTCAAATTAAGAGGCTTGGTTCTTGATTTAAGCTTAAATCCGATTGAATCAAGAGTATTTTTTCTTGTCGATGTTTTTAAGAGTCTGGACTCTAGATCCAATGTGTTTTTTTCCAGTGTGCGAGAACCACGATAATTTGGAAAGGAAGCAATCAGAAAAGTCATGATGATGTCATCGACGGGATTTCCTGGGAGAGCTAACCTAGTTTTAAATTAATTTGAGTATTCATTTAGAGCGGGTCCGGCAACCTTGCGCCAAAATCTAGAGAGCTTTGCGTTATGAACGCGTTTCACGCTGCAAACGACGTGAAGTCCCGGCAAGCTCGGCATTGCCTGGCGCTGAAACGGATATTCGACACACTTGCCGATTGAAAATCGGTGTTGAAATCTTCTCAGGTTTAAGAGCAGTTAAGTTTTGGATCCCCGCAAACGTCGAGTTCAGAATACTTGAGCGTTTATAAGGTGAGGGTACGTTAGATTGAACATACCTGCGTGCATCTGGGCAATCGATTGAAGAGCGTTTTGATTGCAGTTGACAAATCCTGAAACAAAATGAAAAATATTTATTGGTGGAGAAAATTAAAATGATTCAGAGCACCTGAAACCGTAGACATAAAAAAACCAAGTCAAAAAAACAACAATTCCTTGAGTACCTCCATGATTTCTTCATAAAAAAATGAGGAAATCTTCTGATCAGCAGGTATTTACGAAGGTGATTTTCGGACTTTCACAGATGGAATCTGCTGATTGACTGTGATTATCAGGAAAAACCCCACATTTTTAAGTTCATCGCAAAAATCTAATCTTTTTCTAGCAAAAAGCTTTCAGCCAAAAGCTTTCTAGCTTTTTTCTTCTTCTTTTTTTAGCAAAAAACAAAGAACATTAAAGCTAGTACTATCGGAGGAAAAATTTTTTCGAAATCCTTCCTTAAAAACCAACATCTATTTCGCAAAATCCCTGTGCACTCCCACAAAATTCTAGACGAATCGGCGCATCAAAAAATTCTTGGATTCAGATTACTTGCTATACACCTAGAATTTGAGACTTACAACTTGAGCGAGAGACAAGTAATCGTTGTGGATTCCTAAAGTATACGGTCATAGCGATGATTATCGATCTTGAATAATGATCGATCATTTAAGCCTCTGTCCACGTCACGATGGAGATAGTTCCTTTTCATGTAAATAGTTCCTTTTGAAAGATGTGAAGTTATCAAAAATGCGAAAATTCCCAAGAACACGTTCAATTACGAATGCCTCCGATTTGTTTCCGAAGTGCCCCAGGCTGTAAAAAATATTATTAGGAGGTAGACGAACAAAAAAATGACCGCTTCGACTGGTTTGCCGATTAAAACAGAGGAGAAGAAATAATACTTGCGCACGATTTTCGTATGATTCCCTTGAACGCTAATGGATGTACTTGAAAAATGAAATTCATAACACGATTAATAAGCGACTAAATGAGTGGAAATCTATGATCGAAAAGCATAGCTGTTGATTGGTTCTGACCGTCGACTTTCGGAGGGTAGAGGGTGGGGTGGGGGATTAATTGATGAAAAGTCTCTAAGACTCAGGTTCCCTGGAGTCAAGTGCTCCGATTAATCATCTCCCCCGTGCC